AACTTCTTGTTTTAGTTCGGATTCGGTCCTAGTTTGGTTCAAAGTCTCCATCTAACACCTTTAGTTACTACGTCTGACTTTCCTTAAGCTTAAAACGTTTGCCTAACAATAATCGTCACAATGCACAAACGGCCTGATAAGCCCTATATCAACTCAAATGGGCATGCAACGGCCTCCCTTACTGATCTAGACAATTGCTTATAGGTTGGCTTCCACCGCTATCGGTTGGCCTCACCTCCCGTTAGATTTTAACTATAAACAAAACTATTTCTAAAGCAAAACTAGCTTTCAGAAGACCTAGTTAGTGACAAACTCTAGTTAACAACCTAAGTACTGAAGCTGACTAGAATTTGGCTTTAGACTGGGTTCTAATCGGAATATGGCTTTTTAAACTACAGGTTTAAAAGGAAAATTGGGTCTGACTAAGGGGTTTATCGGATCATTATGCTTTGATTGGATCAACTTTGGCTCTGATACCATTTGGTTGAAGCGTGCAAGAATTGGGTAAAAATCTAAGAAAATAGAGCTTATAGTTTGAGTGCGTACATTGCTCTGATACCATTTCGACAAAGCGCGAATAATGCTAACAAAAAGCTTAATTAATGTGTGAATAGTGCGCATTGAATAGTGTTGTGTGAATAGTGCACAATGAACAGTAACTATGAATAGTATCAGTGAATAGTACTGGTTGAATAGTACATGTAAATAATATCAAGAAAATAGTGCTGGATGAATAGTGCACATGAATAGTGCTGAGGGATTATGTGAATAGCAACCGCTTACCTACGATGAATAGTATAATCTATCAAATGTAGTTTAATGAGATCACTTCAACTTTTCGCGTGGAGTTTAAGGATTTTTCGTGGAGCTTAAAGATTAAATGATGAATACTATTAGACTGACACGAATAGTAAATGTGCATATGTGTTATGGACATAATTAGTATAAAACTGACATAAATAGTAAAAAATACATACGTGTTACTGAAATGAACATTGAAAAGCAAACCAAAAGCAGAAAGTAATGAACAAGAAGTTTAAAAATAAGAATTACGTAAAATCATAAACTTGATTTTATTAGAACTGCATAGTAACAAAACTCAGAAATGGGAAAATAAACTTACACGATAGGCTCTTGGCCGGATAACGTATCTGACACGGACAATCCTTCTGTATACAGCTCTTCTAACAAACACTCTGATCAAATCAAATGGATGAAAGAAAATTGGGAAGAGAAGAGAAGCAAAGAGTTTAGAGAGAGAAACTTCACTCCAACAGAGAGAGAGAGAGAGAGAGAGAGAGAGAGAGAGAGAGAGCGGAGAGAGAGAGAGAGAGAGACTCTCGTTGTAGTCGTCGTATACTTGTATCTCTTCGTTCCTTTCGTTCCTTTTACGTTAGTAGGTTTAGGTCGTACTTCCTTCGTTAGTAGTAACG